AAGGCACTAAATGAAATAATTCCCTCCAAAACTGACTGGTGAACACTTTAAGCAATCACCCACAATCAACCTAGGAATTCCGTCTCATGTAGTTTTACAATGTGATTGAAGTAGACTTTATCAATCTCTACAACTGTGAAAGGGTGACTAACCCGCACACTGTGGGCATACTTGGATGATCAACTACTACTATTATGGCATCCTTCTACATAGACCTTGGTAAACCATCATTAAAGTCCATTGGCACATATTTCCAAACTAACGTGGGAATTGGCAAGGGATACAAATAGACAGGTGTAGCCACAGTTTCATCTTTACATTGTTGAGAAACCTCATGTTCTAGCACCCCTTTTAATGTCAGCTCTCTTGTTTGGGAATAAGAAGTCAGCTACTTTGACATAAGTATTTTTGCGCACCCAAATATGGCTAGCTACACCAGAACCATGCAACTCCTTGAATACCAACATACTTCAGTTCCTGTGGCTCACAAAGTCACCGTTCTTTTATACATCAACAACCCATATCGGATGTACACCACCACAGAACCACAAGTTGTACTCACAGCTTTCTAATAAAACCTATTTTGTCGTCCTCATMGCTCTATTGGGTTTCTATGAACTAAAAAGGTACACGTAAAGATGGAACCCAAACCTCTCCATTCTCCTCATGGATTTATGATAACATGCCAATGGTTAAGTTCTCCTTTCCGTCATCGTGATGGATCTCATAACCATGCGATCAATTTAATCAGCCACATTAGTCATGCTTTGTGTTAAAAAGGTAATTCAAGGACTAATGGTCCTTCTGTGTGGCTGAAACAACAAATACRAGTTCCTTCTGATACATTTACAAGGCGATGCTTTTATTTCCSAGCAACTTGCTAAAATATGCAATTGGATGCTCTTGCTGCAATAGAACAGATCCTGTTTGAGCTTCACAAAGCCTCCTCAGCAACTGCTCTCCACTTAAATTGGCCTTCCTCAAACAGCTCAGTCAGTTGCCGACTAATAACCCCACAATCTTGCATGCCAATCAACCTAAGAAACTGCATTAGGCCCTCGACAATCACACTCACAAATYGTGGACTTGTGACCATTGCAATATTCCCTTGATTTTTCCTTGATCAACAACTCCTTCCCTTGATTTCATGTGATCAAATTATTCCGAACTCCTTTTCCCAAATGTGKATTTGACAATTTATCATATAATTGATTGGTGAGTAATAACTCCAAAATTGGACTAGATGAAGCATATACCCATTCTCATTACAGCCGAAACCAATATGTTGTCAGAAAATTACTAAAAAAGGACTCGGATATGGCTCACTTAATGAATTTATTAGTGCTCCACATGTAGCTACTGTGCTAATTAACTCGAAAGGCTTGAATTTGTAGTGCCTAAAATGGCCATGAAAGCCRTCTCATCCTCCTCTCCTTCCACCATAAGAATTTGATGATATTCCGCAAGTCCAATTTAGTGAACATTTTAGCTCCATGTCCAGCACCTCATTGATGATGGGTATGAGATGTTTATTTTTCATCGTATCTTTGTTCTATTCAAAGTAGTGCATACACATTCTCCAAGTACCATACTTTTTAACTAGTATAAATGGTCCATTGTAAGTTGATATACTAAAGTTGTAAGTTGATATACTGAACTTCATTACCCCCCTTGGRCAGCATCTCTTCAATAAGCCTCTCTGCTGCATTCTTCTAAAAAAWTTTGGAGCCTATAAGGCCTCAAATTAATTGGTTCAAAACCTACCTTAAGAGGTATTTTATGTTCTGAGATCACCGTGGTGGCAGCCTTTCGCTCTTAAAATGACCTGTACTTTCCCATTACACCTTCAATCACCCTCAATTGTGCTAGAGTTGCAATGGGCAATCCCTCAAATACTTATTCAAGGACTTCAATAWCTAACTCAAGTTCCACCATGGGTATCTGTCATCACAATGTTAATTCTTCCCTTAACCATTGTAAGTTTACCTTCTTTTGAGTCCTTTTGCAATGAACGTGTAACACCCTAGTTTCTTTATTTGATAAATCTCAATATTTAAGCCTTCAATGCAAATATTTATGAGTAATTCAAGTACTCCAGCAGCTGTTACATTYAGTGAAACATCTTAATTATAAGACTAAACAAGCTAGTGATAAGTTGTTAAGGCTAGAAGTGTGTTGGCAAGTCTAGTAAGCATGACTAAGTAATCTAGTGATGAGTTGTTAAGGCTAGAAATATGTTGCCAAGTCTAGTAAGCATGAATAAGMAATCTAGTGATGAGTTCTTTAGGCTAAAAAAATATGAGTTGGCAAGACTATTGATTACAAGACAAGTGTAGGAAGCATGCCAAGGAGTACTAGAAGCATGAGTTGTTTAGATTCTCTTGTCCTTAGAGATGARCTGTCTAGATTCTCTTATCTTTATTGTCTATATTCTCTTATCCTTATGAAATGAGTTGTCAAGATTCTCTTATCTTTATAGATGAGGTGTTAAACTCTCATAAGAGTACAATCTTGAGAGCAAAAAGAACAAGTAGTTAATGCAATGAATTTATCTATAAATAGGGATTGAAGGGTCACTATTTGTGCATACCAAAAATAAGAAATCTCTCTATATATACATAATTAAGCTTGAAGAAAGGAATCAAAGGAAAAAGTAGGCAAAATCAAGGTGAGTACTTATGTGATTTATRAGATACATGCATGCTATATATACAAGTATTTTRTGCATTACAAGTTATGTTGGCATGCTTGTTTTACATGAARATATTRWTACACATACATATTCAAGATATGCATGATGACATGTTYTAATACAAGTATCATTTACATGTTATCATATGTGTTACACAAGGCAYGAAATTTTTTACATGTTATGTATAACTATCATATCCAATGTACAGGATATTACAAGAAGGGACGTTTTGCAAGCRAACCTTATAGAGCAGCCTTTTATGGACYTGGGGGTTAGCAAACCTCAAGACAAGTATGGTATACATGCATGTGACAAGTGAGATCTCAAAAGAATGTTTTATGCATGATAAAGAATAGTATTTTATGAATGTTTATGCATGATAATGAAGAATATTTTTATACATGATCAAGAGCTTTAATGAATTATCATTCACAAAATATCATGAAAAATTCTCATTCATGAAACCATAAATACCCACTAAGCTTATAGCTTATATATCTCATGTATGTATCTCAGGAARGAAGTAAGGGGGATTTARATAAAGTAGTATGGTYTTAGTCAATAAGCAAGTTTTGTTGTAATACAAGTTGTGGTTACGTTTCCGCTAAGTAATTTCTTCTTTGATGTAATTTCAAGATATGTTATAAATAAAGCTGAATTTCAAGTTCAGATTCAAGATGTAATAGTTTTATCATGTAAAGCAACGACACCCAATATATAAGGACGTGGGGCGTTACAGAACGTCTGGTCTGAAGCCACTATAASTTCTAGAACCATGCAACAGCCACCAAGTCCAAAGAGTCTAATCTCCTTAAATGAATTCTTTTCCATGAATTTTACACCCAAATATTGCGCAAACTTGGTTACCAACCCATGCTTCCCCATTGGCAATACTATTATAGGCTTGGCATACTCTACWTGACAATCCTTTGGTTTTTGCCTTGCAAGTGTCCGAAGAGTTAAATGCAACTAATGGTTTTGGTAACAACCTTTAATTCTTCAGGTAATGTGGCCTAAATTGGCATTCAAAGCAAGAACCAACATTTCTCCTCCTTCACATACTCTGTTCCAGTAGTTCTATTTTCATCCTCACAACTAACGACTCCTCAACTYGTTCATCTTCTTCACTGGTCATCATGTAGAGCATTGACTTAYTGCAGAAATGGCCTCTGAAATACTTTTTACAGTAGTAGAAACACAGCCCAAGCTTGCTCCTCTGAGCTATTTGGATAGGAGTAAATGGGGTTGCTTTAGTCAAGGTACACAAAACAACWGCCCAATGCATGACAGTTTGAAGCAGAATTTACTTCCAAGAATGATTCGTTTCACTGCTGAGACAGGCTTTTGACTACTGTGGTAGGGTCCTACCACAACTTATCAGAGGTGGACCCAGAAAAAATTTCAAATGGTGGCACAATTTGACTACAAAAATATCTAAAGGAAGATTTCACAATATTAGTATAGATCTGTTGGTTGGTTTCTTATACCTGCACAGAAAAGACCCATGTTCAAGTCTTGTCTACATGTATTTTTARAAACACAAAAAGTATATAAAAAAGACACCAAAATTTAAGCTAAAAAACAACAAATTTGACAATAGTGGGACTCAAACCCAGGCCTTTTGTACAAAGCACGGCCATTTACCATCTCCGCCTGTAAAACCTTGTGCTAACATTTTATATGGTGGCACCCAACAAAACAATACGGTGACACCCTTCATAAACTAATTTTTTTTCCTTTACGATGGAACCATGGAAGGTCGCCCGTGCCACCTTATCCTTCTACGTACTTATACTTTAGTTTAATCTCCTATCTCAAGTACTACCACTAATCACTCTTTCGCCTCATTCAAGTGTAATTCCAATTTGGAGCTCAATCGGTATAATTTCTTCTTTTACCAAGAAAAAAAGTATTGGTGGAAATATTGAAAGAAGAAAAACCTTTCTCTTTCCTAAGCAATCATCTCTAAGGAGTTCTCCAAATTTGGAGATTTATACCATCTCTCCTATTTTTCTCCATTTTGGAGAAAGTCTTGGAGAATTTAAGCAAAAAAAGAATCAAAATCTCCATTTTCTCCATTTTGGAGAATTTGTTGGAGACAAATCTAAGGAAATGTAAACTAACATACCTCATCTCGACTTTTGGGCCATGGAATGTGGTTCTTGTATCCCTTGGGATTGGGCACCAAACAATCCAATTCTTTTCCTTTTTCTGGGCAATGCCTTTCATACTTCTCCCCCTTTTCAGTTGAATTTAACCTAGAAACCACATCTACGTTATCCAAACAAGGTATATACTCTCTCCTACTCTCATCACAAACCCTAAATTTCTCAATCTTTTCCCACTTGTGATCACTCTCTCCTCCCCTCTCCACCGAACTTTCATCAACCTCATTCTCAAGCAAACTCGAGTCATAATCCCCAATCACAAATTCATTCGTCATCGCTCCATTCTCGTCCACAATCCCCGTCCTCTCCACAACATTTTCCGGCGGAGGACGCGGCGGTGGCGGTGAGACTGCATTAGGTGGTGGGGACGAAGAATTGGGGGAGCTGTTGGTAGTAGAATTGAATGCAACGTGGACGGCTGTGGTGGCGTTGGTGATCGAGGAGGAGAAGGGTAGGGAGAGTTCTTGAGAGTAAGTGGCGTCAGAGGAAAAGTGTTTGACGGCAAAGAAGAGGGAGAGGGAGAAGAACGAAAGGATTAGGATCTTGATAAATGTGTTCGGATTTGTGAAGTGATCCGATGAGAAGAAGCCGGTGGCTCTCATGGCAGCGACCGGCGTTGAGTTGGAGTGAAGGCGACTCTCCGTCACCGAGAAGTATTAGAGAGATGTCGGTTAAATTTGGGAATGTTGGGTAAAAGGCTGCTGTCAATGACAAATGAGAGCATAGTGATTAGAAAATTTACATTTATGGTCCCTCATATTCTGAGTCTGTCAATTCTGTACCTTATACTTCCCACGTTTTGATAAATCTCTGTATGATTTTTTGTTATTAAAAAAGACTAGGATATTTGACTGTTTGTGGTATACTTAACCTAAAAATTTTGAGAAATTTTGAACATAATCTCATATATATGGTTTATCCAATAAGTTTCACCTAAATTTAGAGGTTGTTTACCAAATGATTACTCGGGTAAGTGAACATCATTATCTTATCGGATGAATATGGTATGAACCAAAAATCTTACCCGGTAAGAGCGAGACAAGTACCAAGAGTCTTATCCAGTAAGTGAGGGCGATGACTATTACCATGGTAACCGCTTACCGGGTAAATTGTTGTATTTTGGTGGATTAAAATATTGTTCGCTAAGTAAATTATAATATTAAATTTTATCGATAAACGCTTACCGGGTAAGTGTTTGGTAAACAGCCCCTTAACCTCAATTTGCAATTTTGGAAAGCAAAAATATTTTGTATCTGCATTGATTAAATATAATTAATAATCAAACCCTCGTTAAACGAGTCGAGTATGTCTTATATACAAATGCCGCTTTGAGGATGGTAGGATACTTCAAACCTTGTTTTTACCCAAGGGARTAGAGAGGTTGTTTTTGTGAGGATCTTCGACTTGCAAAACAGAGAACAATGATACAAGTGAGACAAGTAATAGAGAAGTTGTGCAAATAAACAACATAMGCAGGGAACATAAAAAGGGAGAAAGGACAAGATGTAAGATTAGACCAACAAGGAAACCTAAAAATATAGAATTAAAACTATGAGAGCAAGCAAAAAAATAAAGAACTAAACGAACGTACAAGAAATGTAAGAAAAATAAGACTAGCATAAATACGATATGAAGCCAAACTGGTTTTATGAAACCTTTGTTTTGTGTCGGATCCTGACACATCAATCTCATGCCACTATAATTCCATGGTGTGGCTAAGTAACTTTTTTCTACAATTTTAGTACAATTTATGTGTGTCGCCTTTGTTCTTATAGAGCAACACCATCGCACTAAGATTTTCCAGACATTGTGGTTGTCCTAAGTGTTATGTTAAAGAGCGTCATTGACTGATAGCAAAAGTAACACAMACCTAAATGTGGCACAATAGTAGTGCAAGTATACTCCAAATATTGACTTCGCTTACAAGTAATATAATGTAAGGTACCAAAAATCGTATCCACATGGATTAGACTTCAAAGTTTCAAGTACTAAGTCGAGAATACAACGATTTCAATTAGAGAATAATAAAATATTTTGGAGATTTTCTAGATTAATTAATAACAAGTAACAAAAAGCGGATATGGATGCAAGATTTTGCCAAGAATATGATAGTAATTTAAATGGTTGACAAAACCGGTCATAAATAACCCCCACACGATTTTCTTCTCTAGATGCTACATCATGCGGAATGTGCCCACAACTACTACCTTTTGGTTTGCCAACCTTACTAAATAGGTAAGATCTTAATTCCGYTGATATGGAGAAATGTACATATCTCTATGACACACCCACTTGACCGACATCTAAACCTTAGTAATGATTATGCAACAATCCATATCTCTATGTGGTTATTAAAGATTTTTTCAAGCCTCCTTGTATCATTCAAGTCGTATTTCGAATTCACCATYTCTGAGTCAAAGATCTAATATTAACACACACTCACAAGTGWTCGACTTGTCTGCGTTGAGTTAAAGCTTTAACTCGAATAATCAAATCGAAAAGTTAGCAAAAAAAAAAACGATAACACCAAAGTGTTACATTTTGACATTTCCACACTCAAAGSGGGTTTTAACTAATGCTTAAAAGAAAATACATAATAGAAGAAAAGAAGTACTCAAAGTTAAATTGCATTAAAATAGAATTCGACATTGTGGCCACAATGTCGCCAGAGTAGTGAAYTGTTGAAATATATCATTGACTTACAATCTTTACTTTTGTATAATTTCAGGAAAATTGTAAAAGGTCTAATAATGCAAGAAGGCAAAAGAGGTGATAAAAAGGGCAAGGAGTGCCTCACTTTTGGGGAAATCTCAAGGGTAGCGGAGCAAGATTTACAAAAGCTGAAGGACTGTTTCTGCCATGATGAAAATCTTATATAAAGAGTTGAAGGGCCTCATCCAGCACACACAAAATCATTTTTTACATCTCACATTTTCTTCTCTCTCTTTCATACGGTTCACTGTTTTACTTTAAAGCTTTGTTCATTGTTAATCTCTTTGATTAACAAATTAGATAGATCTATTGTCTGTAATCTTCTTTCATATACTTGGTTAAATCATTGAATAAATATTAGTTCATATATTTGTTCATGGTATCAGAGCCAAATCYGTAAGAAGTAGCGTTTGCGATTCCTCGGTTGCTTATAGGTCTGTTTTGAAAACTTTCAGGTAAACCTTTCTCCTTCGAGTTTATTTCTGTTGAGTAAATGATCATCATATGTTGTGCCTGTACAGATCTATTGATCTCGTTTGCACCGACATTTAGATGTTATACTCGTTATTCTCTTGTTTGGAATCGTTCTTTTGAGATGTACTATGTCTTGTTTAGAATCTGATGCATATGAACAGATTTGTTTATGGATTGCGATGAATTTTATGGTCTCGATCTACTTCAACAATCTATGATGCAGTCTTCTTCTAATTGATTCTTGTTATACTCGTTTCTCTCTTGTTAGAATCGTTTCTRTTGAGGTGTACTATGCCTTGTTTAGAATCTGTTACATATGAACAGATCTGGTTATGGTTGGTTATTTTTCTTTAGAATCTGTTGCATATGAACAGATCTGTTTGAGGATTACGATGACTTTCTTTAAGGTCTCGATCTACCACAACAATCTGTGATGTAGTCTTGTTCTAGTTTTCCTTGCATAATCTCGTTTAGATATTACTTGTGTTCTTATTTTGAATACGAGTTACGTATATGATCAGATCTGTATGTGGATTGCGATGATTTTTTGTTAAGATCTCAATCTACCACTCGTTCTGTGATACAGRTTCGCTGCTTTATATTTCGTACAATCCTTTGGTTTAGATTTTCCTGTGTATATTCTGTTATATCTGTTCAGATATGAAATATCTTGGATGTTCTCCCTGGTTTTGTTTCATATTTCTTCCTTACATGGTTGTTTAAATACCACATGCATATATGAGTTCTGTTAAAATGTGTTTAGATCTGAAATATTCTTGTTGTACTACCGTGGATTTGTATTTTTTTAAGTCTTGTTACAATCTTGTCACGAATATGAACCGATCTATTGTGGTTGGTTATTTTTTTGGATCCTTGTTCCTTACATATTCTGTGACTCTCCATTTAAGTAGATGATCAGTCTATGTGGTGCTTCTATAGCTTAATGATGCCAATCTTCCACKTAGRACTGTGATTCTTTCTGTTTTCTTTTATATGCTTCTTATTCAAATARGTGCTTTATTCTTGGCTRTTCTTACTTRTTGGAAAAAGTGTTTTGTTCCTRCTTCCATGCAAATTCTCGACAAGGATACTGGATTCTTGAAGGTCCAGTCTGTGTTTGTTCAGGCCTTCCTGGTGCGCTTATTTTCTCTTTAACCTTTGGTTAAAGTTGTTTTGTTGCTGCTCAGGTCTGTTTCCTCTCCCCTTTTTTTCTTTTGTCTGCTTTCTTGGTGGTAGGCTTTCCTTCTCTGTGTTGTTTCCTGTTTCTTTTTTTTTTCTTYTGTGTGCCTTTTCTTTTCTTTGTTAAGGAGCTAGGCAGTTAGCTTGRCYTAGCACTTTAAGTGTTTTAGGAATCCTGTTTTTATCTGTCTTAGTCTCCTTTGTGTGTTCTTTRTTTCTATGTCTGGTTCCRAGGTTGTCGCTAGTAGACCAATGRAATCCAAAATCACTAGTTTTGATTTTGGACATCCATTGTATCTMYAYCCTAGCGATACAAGTGGAACACCTTTGTTGACTATAAAMTTGTGTRGTACGAAAAAYTACAAGGTCTGGGCATGTGCTATGATTTTGGCACTTGAAACTAAAAATAAAATCGGTTTCATAGACGGATCCTGTCTTAGACCTGTTAACGATCCCATTCTTGAAAAACAATAGGATAGATGTAACTCAGTGGTCCTTTCGTGGATTCTGAGCTCTATGACGGAGGACCTGTTTTTAGGACARRTTTTCTCTAAACATTMTGTTAAGGTCTGGGAAGAATTGAAAGAAACTTACGACAAAGTTGACGGATCTGTCATGTTCAATTTATATCAAAAAATAAACTCATTGTGTCAAAATGGATCTTCTGTTTCTGATTACTATCATAGATTAAACTTATTGTGGAAACAGTTTGACGCTTTAGTTAAACTCCCTACCTGTACCTGTAATGCCTCACATGAATTTCTTGAACACACACAATTGGTTAAGCTCATGCAGTTTCTTATGGGCCTTGACGATGTTTATCAACCCATAAGAAG